GCTTGGCGAGTCGGCATTCACAGAGGTTCGCGTCCTTGCCACTGAGTCGGATCGGGCCAGGAGGAGAATACGCGAAGCAATACATATTCGCGACACGAGCCCCAGCATAAACAATAACGCAGGGTGGGACCTCCTGTGAATTCTCTGGTGAAGCCTTGTACATATTTCTGGCCCTGATACTCGCTCTTCCTGGATGGTGGTGGTTTAGCACCCCTTGAACTAGTGCACTGTTACTACTACTGTTGTTGCTAGCGCCTGCAATTACATGTCTGCACGCACCTAGTGCACATGTACATTCTGTTTGTTGCTTGTACCTGTGCCATTTTTAGAGTTGTCGCGTATTGCGTTATTTCTATACCTGGTTTTTTTTGGTGATGTTTTGTCCTTTTGTTCTCTCTCTCGTCATAGTGCATGCAGGTGTGATTTGTTATCAGTTTGCAGCGCTCCTCGTATATTAACCCATCCTAACCGGTGTGCCCACTTCATTCCTGATGATGGTTATTTCATGACCGAAACGTTGAAATATAATATTTTTCTGGTGAAAAGCAGTTATTTGAGTGTGAGCCAGTGTTGCTCACAACCAATTTTTTACTTATGAAGCTGCGTGATGCGTCCTACAAGATTTTATATCGGTTTTCTTCCTCAAGGACAAGGACGCCATGGTTGTACGTGAAGTGGGCATTCAAGTTGGAGAGGTGCATATGTCAACTCAACTTTCTCTTGCAATGTCGCAGGGAACAACTTACGCCAGTGTTCATCCAGCACTCAATTCCTCTGGCATGTGGGACCCGTCACTCCAGAGTGGTTCGCCGGGAGAAGTATGTGCGAAGCCTGCTGAATGATGCCATAGAAGATAAGTTCAATTGGAGAGCTCTCTGCTACCGGAACTTCACCACCTACCGGGCTGAACTCCGACCATACTCCAAGCAAGAGTACGTTTGGCTCCGACATCTCTGTGATGCCGTTCGCAACAAGGAGTATCGCAGCTCGAGACGACGCCTATCCAGGAAGTTGGACTGGCTAAGGCAGCAAGCTGATTTGACGAGAACTCGTGCAGGGAGAGTTAGGGCGGAGACAGCAGCGGGTGACGCTGGCCAGGACCGGTCAGCGTGCGTTCTCGACTTAGATCACTGCGTACCCAATGAGACAGTAGCTGTGCTGCAGAACGGCCCTGGCTTTGTGCCATCCACTGGCCGAGTGGGGAAGAGAGACTTGGAGGATGTGGAGGTTGGAGTCGAGAGAATGGCCTATTCGCTACGGTGGTGGGCGAACGCAAATGTGGAGCAGCAGAACCAGGCCAATGCAGAACCGGACACATTCGACAGCAAAATTTGGCATATCAAAGCCCACGGTTTTGAACAGGGTCCAAAGCTGCCAAGGGAAGAAGAATTCGGCTTGGCCAGTTTCAAGCGCGAGGTCATGAATATCTACCGAACAGCGTCAGCTCCCCGGCCTAACATGTCTCGAAAAGACCGCGAGCGGCTTACCGACCTCCGCGACGATGATTCCGTGGTCGTCAAGAGGTCCGACAAGAGCAATAAGTTTGTGGCGATGAAGATGGCAACGTACCTTGATAAGGCCGAGACTATCCTGTCAGATGGGACAAAGTTCACACCCGTCAATGTCACCATCGATGATTGGGAGAAGCAAACGCGCACCATCCTTCAACGCGTCTGTGGTGGTACACTAGAGAAGGACCTGTACCAAGCCATACTCCCTGGCGACAACAGGTTTCCGGAGATGTATGGCCTACCTAAAGACCACAAAGCCACGGTACCGCTTCGGCCAGTTGTGTCAGCTGTTGATAGCCCGGTGACCAATATTTCTATTGTCCTGGAGCGTATACTCAACCAATGCCTGAAGTATGTCCCAGCACATCTGAAAAACACGCTGGAAGCACTGGAGGATATCCGGCAAGTGTATCCCGACCTACAAGCCCCAGCGGGGACCATCATCGTTACAATGGACGTGGTCGCTCTTTACCCAAGTATCCCTATCGCTGAAGGGGTGGAGGCGGTTGCTAGAGTCCTGCAGCAGCACATCGAGTCTGTTGACACATTTGGTTTAAGCGTGGAGCAGATCGAAGAGCTGTTAACCTTCGTTCTAAGATCCAATTATTTCAGATTTGGTGAGAAGGTCTACCACCAGAGGGAAGGCATCGCCATGGGTAACAACCTAGCGCCCCCGTTTGCGATTATCTTCATGCATGACCTCGAAACCTCGCTGTTGCTAAACTCGCCTGGTGCTCCCGTACTCTACAAGCGTTATATTGATGACATCATTATGCTGTGGACACTGGGGGCCGCGCTTCTCCGCCAGCTGATTGCATTCTTCAATACCGCCAATGCGAGCATCAAGTTCAAGTATCAATCTTCGGAGGAAACTGGGTCGGTTGACTTTATGGACACGACTATTCATGTCTCCTCCGAGGGCGCAATATCATTCGAGCTGTTCCGCAAAGCTTGCCACAGTGGCCTCGTCTCAGACTTCAACTCGTGCGTTCCGCAACAGCAAAAACTCGCCATCGCGTCTTCGGAATTCCTCCGCGCGGCCCGCCTTTCCTCTGATCCTGCAGCCCGCCAGCGAAGTGAGCAAAAGGTTATTGACACATTAAAATTCAACAACTTTCCTGACAAAGTTATCGCGACTGCTCATGAACGAGCCAGACGACCTGCTAAACAAAAGAAAGACTATCGATCCACGTTGAAGTTACCATTCAAAACGGATGCCATCCACTACAGGGTCCACCGTCTTCTAAACAAATACAATCTAAATGTACAGATAATCTACAAGAATGCAAGGCTTTCCAACAGCGTCACTAAGTCCAGCCTCACTGGACCTTGCTGCCGTAAGTGGGTGGATCCCGCTGCCCCGAGGCGACGAGGAAGGCCTAAAGCCGCCTGCGTTGCATGCCAATCTAGCGAGGTAGAATGCACAAGACGCAACGTGGTTTATCGTCTGACCTGCAAGTGCTCGGAGAAGTATGTTGGAGAGACTGGCCGCAGTGTAGCAACGCGAACAAAAGAACACAATGATAACTCACGCAACAAGACGTCTGGAAAAGCCCTGGGCGAGCACTACCGACTTCACCATGGCGGCGAGGTACTGCCGCTTGGCGAGTCGGCATTCACAGAGGTTCGCGTCCTTGCCACTGAGTCGGATCGGGCCAGGAGGAGAATACGCGAAGCAATACAAATTCGCGACACGAGCCCCAGCATAAACAATAACGCAGGGTGGGACCTCCTGTGAATTCTCTGGTGAAGCCTTGTACATATTTCTGGCCCTGATACTCGCTCTTCCTGGATGGTGGTGGTTTAGCACCCCTTGAACTAGTGCACTGTTACTACTACTGTTGTTGCTAGCGCCTGCAATTACATGTCTGCACGCACCTAGTGCACATGTACATTCTGTTTGTTGCTTGTACCTGTGCCATTTTTAGAGTTGTCGCGTATTGCGTTATTTCTATACCTGGTTTTTTTTGGTGATGTTTTGTCCTTTTGTTCTCTCTCTCGTCATAGTGCATGCAGGTGTGATTTGTTATCAGTTTGCAGCGCTCCTCGTATATTAACCCATCCTAACCGGTGTGCCCACTTCATTCCTGATGATGGTTATTTCATGACCGAAACGTTGAAATATAATATTTTTCTGGTGAAAAGCAGTTATTTGAGTGTGAGCCAGTGTTGCTCACAACCAATTTTTTACTTATGAAGCTGCGTGATGCGTCCTACAAGATTTTATTATTATTATTATTATTATTATTATTATTATTATTATTATTATTATTATTATTATTATTATTATTATTATTATTATTATTATTATTATTATTATTATTATTATTATTATTATTATTATTATTATTATTATTAACTGGTTTGAGGGAAAGAGACCTATTATTATTATTGTTAACTTTTATTTTACTAGGGTGTTTCCCACAGACCTATGATATAGGTGTGTGTGTGTGTGTGTGTGTGTGTGTGTGTGTGTGTGTGTGTGTGTGTGTGTAATGCTGACGGAAATTTGAATACGGCGTCCAAAGCAAAAAATCAAGGAAAGTTTGTTCGAATATTCGCGAGGAGAGGAGCCCAATTCCTGGCTCGACGTGGCAAGTAATCGCCCCGCAGTTTCCGCCGCCGTCAGGATATCGCACGGCATCGTTGTACATCGCGGCGTTCAATAGCAATTATAACCCGTGGGAATGCGCCGTCACGTCGGTCGTCGGGTCCTGGTGCCGCTTCCCGGAGACAGCGCTAATCCAAGAGCTGCCCCGTATGGGGCCACTTAGCCAGTCATGGCAGTGGAGAAGAAGGAAGGAAGGAAGGAAGTGTGTGTGTGTGTGTGTGTGTGTGTGTGTGTGTGTGTGTGTGTGTGTGTGTGTGCGAGTGTGTGTGTGTGTGTGCATGTGTGTGTATGTTTTGGTTGTGTGTGTGTGTGTGTGTGTGTGTGTGTGTGTGTGTGTGTGCGCGTGCGTGCGTGCATGTGTGCATGTGTGTGTGTGTGTGTGTGTGTGTGTGTGTGTGTGTGTGTGTGTGTGTGTGTGTGTGTGTGTGTGTGTGTGTGTGTGTGTGTGTGTGTGATTGGGCTTGGATGATAGTAATTATTTAAAGAGAAAATGACCTACAAGTTTCTAGTTATGACTAACTGTCCACCAAGGTAACGAGATAATATACGGTCAGATAGTGTGACAACAAGGCACAAAACTGACAAGGATATTGAGACATTCGACGACCTGGCAACTAGTTTCAACATATTTACGAGGCGCAAACCAACAACCTTCAAACTTGGAAGGCTCAGGTGGGGAAAGTTCCAATGAGGGGAAGAGATGCGCCACGAAGGTGTCGTCGAAAGTTAATCAAATTTTAACCATAGCTTCAAAGATCCCTTGATATTGTGACCTACCAGTGGGGATGTGAAAATTCAATTTCAAGTTCAAATTCAAAAAGTGTTTTCTTCCAGATCTGGCTGACAGAAAGATGATAATTATACAAATTTCGACTCACTTTGGTCAAAGTTCCAGAATGCGCATTGTACAGTGTCGTCTTTGTCCTAGAGATGATGAAGAGAGAAGAATATAGATGAAACAAGAAACAAAGGATTTTTGAGTTTTGGATGTGTTTTGATCCTGTACATGTATGAGTGGAACACTGGAAGATCTCGATACCGGTATTGAAAATCATTATGCAACCTCCAGACTCCGTAATTAAAATGTTCTTTCACTTTTCTACGAACATGTGTAGCACCCATTGCTACAAAATCTGCAACCGAGGTGTAAATCTTCAAGCGTAGGCCGGAAGCGTTCACATCGTCATTTAAAAGATCTTCCCATTTTTTTCCAAAGAAGACTGTTCACTTGTCCTGCAGTTTTCTGATACAATCCAACTGTAGTATAATGCACATCCTAGGGCTATCTGAATGTTATGGTCACAGTACTGTCCAGTGATTGTTTATAAGCTTGAGGAAGTTGACAAGGGAAATTGTTGAAGGAATACTGACTAGTGTCGCCAGCACTCGAACCAGGCACCCTTGGTTATGACCGGTGATTATTTGCCATGAAGCACGGACATTGTCGTCATCCTAGCAGCAGAGGCATTGCAATATTTTCTTTAGACTACGGAATTCATGCCTTCGAAGGCTGGGGGATGCAGCGCTCACTGAACCCAAGCACTTTACCTAAAACATAGCTTGTGAGGAGCCGAAATGTTTCCTGCACTGAAAATGGAGAACGTGAAGACGTTTCAAAAATGTGTTTCCCTGAACGATATCTTCTTTTGTCTTCTATTTTTGCACAATATGTCGAAAAATTAGTGGTGAACAAGTGGTGGGATAGCCCCACCGGATGTTCAAATGATCACTATAGCGTAACGCTGAATCCTCTGAAGAGTACTTTAATACCATAGGGTAAAATATTTAGCCCTTCGTCGTATGAACAATCTTGTGACTGGTTATTTCAGTTGCAGGATTGCATAGAAAAATTGGACTGGAGGAGGAGTGTATCCAGGAGGCCAATATCAGACCATTTGAAGAGGTCAGGTGTAGAACTTCAAGTGTTGGAACGTTTCATGAATACACGTTAGTCATTACCCAATGGATTGTGATTAACAGTGTCACGGTATAAAGAATAAGAGCATCTACATGTAGGTTGTATCTGATTCAAGGTTCAGCAGTTAGGGCGCGCTCACACTGCGACCATGAGCACGCGTCCATGCGTCAGCAAAACGCAGAAACGTGGCAGTCGTGCTCACACTAGGCCTCGTACACGCTAGACGTGAAGTTGTCACACAAACTTTACGAATTGCAGTTCGCATCCAAAAGAGTTCGTGCGTTTCCTAATAAAGTTTTGTATTTTCCCGCGTGTTGCATGTTGGAGGAAGTGACTCGTGGCTCGTATTCTTGAAGTCGACGAAAATAATTCATACAATCATGTAGGTTTGGACTCTTGAGGGGCTGCCGCTGACATCCAAGCGCTTTCGCTTTCTTGACCTCGTGGTCAGAGCAAGTGCCAGTGCAGTGGAAATTCCGGTAGTGGTTTCTTTCGTCTGTTGCCGAGATGAGAACTGTATTTTCCGATGATATGTAACTGAAATATCTTGAGGTATGGCATTCCATCATCGCAGAAAAGTAGAGAAAGATGATTTCCCAAACCGAAAAATCAGACCAAGCTGCCATCGTATTGAACGAGTACACTGTAGAAATTGGTCACTGACCCGATCAATTACTGACAACGAAGCAACTACAAAAACAAAATTGACATCGTCCAAAAAGGGCAAAGATTGCATATATGGCGGTGCGTGCGTGCAGGACCACAACTACAAAATTTTAAAAATGTGCAAATGTCGAGGATGACATCGACAACCGCCGAGTTTCATGAATCAACACACCGGAATTTGAGAAGTTGAACATACTTCAGGCCAGGTTGTACACAAATATGCTTCACGTCTACGATCATGTTGCCGCCAAGTCGTGGTACCCCCCCCCCCCCCTCCGGAGGTCGCGGTCACGATTTGAAACGTGGCCGCGACGTTTTGGTCAAGTTCATGCCGTTGCCATGCAACTTGGCCACATGGCCGCATAGACGCTGGTTTTGGTGGCAGTGTGAGCGCGGCCTTAGCAAGACTCAGCCTGTACTTTAGTACACTCAGTAATTTTATTCCCGTAACTATGCAGAAGACGTTACTTCAGTAACGTCTGACGCTAGCCAGGGTCCACACAGCTTTAATTTGGTATTTGTTTGTTTGTTTGTATGTTTCTGTCACGCCTGGCGCTATCACGTATCTGTCCCGTACCGTACCGTACCGTACCATCAAACACAGTTGGCCACATACAGCTGGCCGCAATATTCAAATAGGGCTTTCAAATGCAAGATCATAACGTGAAGCAACTTGGAAGAATGGGCATGAATGCGAAATGTATGGGAGAATGCATGTAGGGCGATAGTGCGGGTTCGAATCCCAGGATTTGCCTGAAAAAAAGGAGAATTGAAAAATTTATAACATCCCTATGCTTTTTTGCCTAGGTCATCAAGGCGGTAGACTGTGTCGTATTACCCTCGACCGTACCTGTCCCGTACCGTACCGTACCATTAAAGACGGCTGGCCACAATACATACTGTATAGCAGGAAATTTTCGGACGGAAATATTTTCGGACAAAGCGGAATTTCGACCTTTCGTACGGATTTTATTTTCGTACAGTGCTACATGCTAAATGCACGTGTTCTCATGCGGTACGCATGTATAGTGTACATGACTCCAGAGGAACAAATTTTAGTACGGAATTAATTTTAGTACAAAAGAGGCCGTGTACGAAATTGTACGAAAATAAATTCCGTCCGAAAATTTCCTGCTATACAGTATTCAAATAGGACTTTCAAATGCAAGATCATAACGTGAAGCAACTTGGAAGAATTAGTATGTATGCAAAGTGTATCGGGGGATGTATGAAGGGCGATCGTGCGGGTTCAAATCCCAGGTTATGTCTTTAAAAAAAGGAGAAAATTACTTCCTCCATTAACAAAAACTTCGTGATGGAATTTTGAGGGGCTGATTTGGGCACAAACTGCCGTGATATGAGTCGGAATCACTTTATTGGCCTTCCCTGGCATGCCATGACAGAGGTACGATGCAAGGAAAGCGACCTTTCACAACAAGCCGAGCGGAATCGATGGTTGCGCTGTGGAAACATAGGTGATGACAGTTATGGCGAGCGAAACTGAAATACCACTTCTCCGAGGGGATATTACGCTGCTCGGCCTCTCTACCACTTTAGCACTGAGTACGTTGGAGAGTGATAGAGAGCGATAAAACGGAGCAGCGATCCCACACAATGAGCGAGTGAACAAGGAGCTGCTCCGATCGCACGGCTCAATGAAAATAATTCTGAACTCAAGTTCTTGTTCAACCTGCGCAAAGCCCAGATTCGAATGCTGATGACCATGCATTCTTTCAGAAGTCTGCAGTCCGATGCGAGTCTCGTGGCTAAAGAAAGTCGACTGGACTAGCTAGCCGCTGCCGTTCAGTGCTGGAATCCATTAGAGAAATTGGAATCAGTTTGGCTGTGCCTTTACTCCTCGTTTCGCGGAGTTCTGGAGAGCGAAGATGAAACCAGGGAGTCGTAAAATATTTTTACGACTCCCTGGTGTAAACGAATAATCGCCATCGCGGCGGATCACGCAGCTTGAAAGCAAACTTACTTGAACGACGGCGACATCAAGCGGAGTGTGATCAAAGAAGCCGAGTCAAGGCTGAAACGAGCTGAACAACGACTCAAGACAGATGACGACTCGCGTACAGCAGATGACGACTCGCGTGCAGCAGATGACGACAGCGACGCAGGTCAAAAATGAATCGAGCGAAAGCGACGCAAACTGAACTCTCTGCTCATTCCGCGAACAGTTTTTCTTGTAAAGTCGCTGTACATAGGCTGAATCACCTTCGTCCAGTGATTTGCAGTCGATACAAACTGTTCTTGACCTGTTCTAAGCGTTTTCATCTCCATCAAAATCCATCACGAAGATTTTGTTAACGGAGGAAGTATAAGAATTTATAACATCCCTATGCTTTTTTTGTCTAGGTCATCAAGGCAAAAAAGCATAGCGTAGGGCCCTGAGCTTCCAAGCTCTCTCGTTATATTGTTAGCTAGATAGACTAGGTCAATCACGGAAAGATTGGATACACCATGAAAACAGCAAAACGACAATACTCACCGCTTGAATGCCGCCTTTGAAGTCAAATGACATGAGTACTGGTTCAGTTAGGCCGTCTATCTTAGCGTTCCCGACTTGCGCCGAAATGACTTCGGACGCTACGCTAGTGGTTGCACTGATATTGGAGTCGTCGAACAGTGCGTGCGTGCGGTATAGGATGTATCGTGTGGCAGCTGCAGTGCAGACAGAGTCGTTGGATGGCGTCAGCATGTCGGTAGCAGCTCTGATGATCTTCCCGGATATATCGAATGCCACGCCGGCCGCACTGGCTGTATATTGTAACACGAAGAAAAGAAGAAAGAAAAGTAGTCCATCGTGTGAGATTGTGTTGCTATTTGTTTATTGCTACGTACAATACCCGTCTTGCTAATTCTGCTTATTGGACCACAGTGAAGACATCGATGTACAGAGATCCAAGTTCACATGAAACTTAGATAGATCGAGGTTTTACCGTCCCTATAGGATCTCCACCACCCTCAAGAATCAAAGCACAGATGAAGTTTCTAACTAGCGCCCATTGCATAGAAGTTGCTGGAAATATCCGGGCGGGAAGGCCTTTCACGCCAATAGTTAACTTTTAACACAGTCGACATTAAAAGCTCAGGACTTGTTTGCTGCTGCTGGTAGTACTGTAATACTGTAACGACTTTGAAGAGTGATGATGCAAAAAGCCTCATTGAAATTTCCAGTGGATTCTGTGCTTTGTTCGCTATGTAAACCGGATATGTATGATAAGTACACGAGAAAAGCGTAACCTACCGAGGGCACTGGAGTTCAGCTCACCCACGTAGAACATCCCATCGCGATTCTGAGAAACCGATCGGAATGCCTGCTTTGCACCATTCGGTCGTGGGCAGCTCACGGCGAATCCAATGTTGTTCTCGGTTTTCACAATTGGTTCGTCCTCACTCACATCCAATGTGGTCACCAACCGTTCCATTGACTTTGCAAGCCTGGCGGGAAGTAAGCATAGCAACGACGGAAAATGTTCATCAGTTTTATGTGGGAAAGGAACGAGGAAACGTCTGAAAAGAAAATTTACTGTCACTGACAGTACTCAAACAGAATAGAGAAAAAAGTGGACTGTCTGCGAAGCAGTGATTTTTGGAGACAATAACTCTATATAAAATGTGGTTATGAGCAGCTTGCTATGTGTGAAGCCGCTGAATGTATCAATCTCTTACTCAATGATTTTAAAAATGGAACGAGTAGGACAAACGTTGCCGTTATACAAGCTAATTGACCACTTATAGAAAAGAAAAGGACATTGAACTGCAAGTTACGCTATATTGTCCATTTACACCAGTTACTAAACAATCAGCTCATGCGATAACATTACACGACACTGACCGACGCCACTGGCGTTCGACAACTAACTGGCAAAGACATTATAGCGTCACTTGTTGTTCCTTGGCCCATTTTTTCTTTTCTATAAATTTATCCTTTGCTCTCCACCCGAGTCCATAATTGACCATTCCTTTTCTTAAATTAAGTTATTGCTTTTACATACTCCGAAGAATTTGCATGATCTGTAATTTGCCTAATGTCCACTCACTAGATAGAGCATGTAATATCGAAAGTTGAGTCCGTACTTTTCGTACGACGATTTCACAACTAAAAAGTGTGCTATGGAATATCCAGAACACTCTAGTTCACATCACTACTGCATTCAGCAAATAATGACTCGACCTGTACCTTCAACGTCGGGAAGGACCATGCCAAGAACATAGTGAACGGGGAACAGGCTGTGTTAAAGCAACACGAGCATTTATTCCGAGTTTTGAAGTTCATTCTGCTCGACTGGGCATTCGATTATTTTTAGATTCCAGATGTGTTTCGAAACTCGGAGCTGTTAGCTGTTCGAGTATTTGTAACATGGGAAGTTGTGGACACAAATAATGCGATCGAGTCCACCCAGGTTACACATTTTTCCTTGGCTCACCATCTGAAAGTTTGAGTATTTGTCGTGCTATACTGTTGTCAATTGGTTGGCCTGTCTTGTTTTGAACAGTGGCGAGTGCAAACCAGTGTATGCAGCACTATTGATATCGCAATGTTATTATATTATGTGTCATAATATTAGCACGTTGGTCTCATATGCAGACCCCAGGTGGCGAGATGACGTCACATATCATCAAGGTTACCTACTCGTATATCTGCTCTTTAATACCTGGTGGAGCACAATTGATAGTAGCGGGTGGCCGATAATTCCGTACGATGACGAATTCCACACATAATTAATTTTCTCACCTTTTGGCAGGAACAGGTGCAACTGCCGTGTTATTGCCTTTGACCGTCAAAACATTGTCTACAACGTGAAGAATTGATAGCGCAACCTAAATGCCATTAAAAACGAATACAAAAGAATGTCCGTTCAACATCGAAGGACAGTAAATGACCAGATCTCTGCCAAAACCAAGCCACTAGAGAAGAGGCTCTTGGATAAGAGTCATTGCATTATACTAAGAGTGAAAACGTCCAAACTGCAATGTCCACTGGTACCAGTCTTGACTCTGATTTACACCATCTGTTCATGACGTAATCTGCTCTCTGTATGTGTTCTAGTAGCTATGGCGACCGCATACACTGTAGTATTGTGTACAGTCTCGTGGATTACATCACGATCAATTACGTAACTATGGGAACGAGTGATGGCGAACATTCACGAGGTGTATGGGCAGTTCTGTAATATGGCTTTGACTAATAAAACTATTATAATTATGTAGAAGAGAAAAGGACATGTGGATACGAATTAAGAGTAGCTCTCCATCACTGTAACATGATACTACTTATATACAGTCAGAAAAGTGCAATAACTAGGCACAAAACTGACAGAGTACTGAGACATTCGACGTCCTGACACCTAGCTTCAACACATCTCCGTTGCGCTAACCGACAGCCTTCCAACTTGGAAGGTTCAAGGTTATGGAAAGACCAAAGAGGGGAAGGCAAGCGCAACGAAAACGAGCAAACGCAATTATACCCAAGTTTTGTGCGTCATTCAGAAAAAATGTCACAGGAAAATCTGCTGGGAATTCCAAAGTACTAACGCTATCGTTTCGCGAAAACTAAACTAGCCAAGCTCTGTTGCTTGGTGATTTCAGTGCGAAAAGGCTGTTAATAGTAATCTAACTTTATCGTGGAAACCTTCCCTCACCTGTTTGCCCACAGTTTGATTGAAGTCCTGGTCCTTACTGACGGCGTTGATGACATTAAAGATTGCCGTAGACGCAAAGTCAATATCATCAGTGGTCAGGGTTTCAGTATTGTTCGTCAAAGTATCCAGGGTCAGTGTGCCGTTCAAAACATGCTCTGGGTCACTGCTGTTGAAGTCAATCTAAAGAACAGTATTATAAATTATACAATGTACAACAGAGAGGTTCCAGGCGGTCCAGTAGAGTGTTCAATACCGAACGGCAGAGCTAGTTGGAACAATAATAAGAGGATGACAAAAGTGTTTAATTCGAGAAATATTTTCGTGGTTAGCGTGAGACTAAGTCAGACTGAGGTTTCCACGTCCATAGGAACACAAACACCATCAAGGAAGAAGTAAGTGATGCAGCTGCTAAAGTAGAGAGTGTTGAGTAGATCTGACCCATAAACAAAACTGTAACGCAATCCGAAAATTGAAGTTCCTGCATTCAGACAGTAGTCGATACATTACAAATGGTAGTAATTGCACAAACTCAGTGGTCAGAGGATCGTTGGTCTCAAGCGAAGGTCCCTGGTTCGATTCCTGGTGGTGATAGCCAATTTTGTCTTCAGACTTTTCCCACCATGTTGCATTCCCTCAACTTATGAATACTTATTTAGTCACTGCCTTGCGTGCAGTCTTTACCCTTGTCACACCGTGTTTATCTTTTTGGAAACTTATTCTTTATCACGTAGCTCAACATCATCAAAATAATCATTATCCCCTTACTGCAGCACTTTAATCTACTAGTATCTGGCACAAGAAAACCTGTGCGTGGAGCTAATTGGTTCCACCGACTTGAACGCGGCAGTGCTTAATAATAATAATAATAATAATAATAATATGAATACTTGCACAAACCTTTGCTATCTGTTGCAGCTGTGCCGTTCTAGGTGTGGGGCAACTGGTTGCATTGGCCATTTCCCACTGTGCCGTCACTAGCTGAGGGTTATGTGGACGAGGCATGGTTATGCACTGCCGACTTGCGTAGCGAATGATGCCATCCTGGAGCTCCACGGGACAGTCCAGTACCAGCGTGGCATTGCTGTATGTCTCTGGCCAGTAGAATGATCCCCGACGATCCCGGCCAGTTGTCACCTCAGGACTACAAACATCTACAGACGCAGTACAGTGATGCAGCACGGTTACCAGGGTGGGAAGAAGGTAAAGTGTATCAGGCATGATGAACGCAAGGTGCGCACCCCTTGTGCACAACAAGCTGAAATGCCACTGGGAGTGCAGCAGAAAACACAATTGACCAGTAGAGTAGATAAAGGCTGGTGGGTTGGTCTTTAAAAGCCAGTACGGTGTTGAGCACTCAACTTCATTGCTATTCTATATTTACACAATTCCCCTTGGGAAGTAAGGAAGATCATGACCTAAATCAGTCGTATACTCAATCTAGTAAGTGACGAAACCAATAAACTTACCATAAGCGATCACCGTCAAACTGTGACTGACCAAGCTCAGTTTTGGTGATTGTGTAGCTTGTAGACTGGCTTCAAAGGCTGCCAGCAAATTCGCTTCTGAGCTATTTCCGGAGATTTGAGCAATGTCGGTGGCTGAAGTTGTGATATCACATGTGACATTGATGATGTTTGACCTGAAAACATTGAGCAAGATCAATAGAATGTATTCAGAAAACATGCAATATAAGCCTCTACATCGTACACATCGTTACTACCAGATTTCAAATTATTTTTGTCTTCAATGCACTTTAGAACATTCATTTTACGGCAT